TGCCGCGCTGGGCAGCCCCGGGCAGCCCCAGCAGCCAGAAGGTAGGTCGCGCCCGGCGCTTCATCAGCATCTTTTCAAACCTCCGTCTCACCGTTTCCGGGGGCAGGAGCGATGTCGCGGTTAGCACGCGGCTCCGCGATGTGCGTTCGGCGTGCGTTCGGCGTTTTTCGAACGGGGCTCGGTGAGGAGCCGCGGGGCGGGGGCTGGGAGCGCCTCTGCAGCCCCTCCCAAGCCGCAGAAAGGCCGGGCGAGCTGGCTGGCACATCTCGGCACTGAGCTCCTGCCGACTCGCCATCACCCTGCGCCGAGGCTTGTCACCGTTTGCCGTGCCTTAAAACCTAGATGGAGCCTACCTGCTCCGCATGCCCGTGAGACGGGAGCGCGGCAGCACTGTCAGTGACATTTAGGGAGCGACCGAATAGAGGCATCAGCCTGAGGAGATGGACCCCAGCTGTGCGGGTGCTTCGCCAAGAAAAAACAGCTGGGAACTCAGGGGTGTCTGACAGCGCCTTGGACACCCTGTCTGTCGACACAGATCTCATCCCCACGCCTCTCAGGTGGGTGGGTGAGGCGTGTTGGTAGTCCGCAGCCGTTCTGAGAACTGCTGGGGTACAGGCTTGAACAACCGCAAACGACAGTTCAGTTTCACAGCACTGCTGTGACGGTGAAGAAGTTACCACTTGCATAATCAAAGGAAAGAGGAAAATCCAGATGGTGTTATTTACGTTGTGAAGCAGAAAAAGGGAAGCCGCAGCGTTATACTGAAGAAAAATCTCCCCAAACCTTGTTGTTTGCGGTTTATGTCCTCTTCAGATGATGAGACTTTCTAAAACTTTTTATTGTGTCAGATGAAGAAAAAGTTACTTCTCTTAAAAAGTTAATTCTCTTAAAAATGTTCTTGCAATGCTGCCTGGAAATAGGTTCTCCCTATTATTGATAGTGTTACAAATACATCTGGACAGCATTTCCCCTAATACAAATTTACTGGGTCTCAGGGGTCGTTCTTGGTTTGTTTCAAGCAAGTTCCTGTTGGCTCTAAAACCAGCATTAGCAAAGCTTACATACAGCTGGGATATTTCGGTTACACAGCAATTGATGGACTCTGAAGGAGTGGGATTATTAAAGGAGAAGGGAAAGCATTATTAGTAACAATGATGTTTGCACCATCTGTGTGATGAGACCCTCCGACCCCCCCAGCTATGGGCAAGGCACCTCTGTTGTTCACACGTTAGAAACAACAGACCTACCCTGAGGTGTACTGAGCACCTGTGTGTCAGTAAACTGAACTAAGCCCCTTGGAATTGGCTGTTGTTGTATATATGAAATGTATTAACATGTTTTGTGTCATCTGTGTGGGCCTGGTGCAGTGTCCTGGAAACTGAAGGAAAGGTGAACAAAACCTGGCATAGCAGGAGGGAGCTGATGAAAGGAGAAGTTTGTAACTGCGCTTGGAATTGGTGAAGTGGCACCCAAGTGTGTCTCGGACATGACAGATCTTTCGACAGACCATCCTATTCAGTCAGCCTTGCTTTATTCTGCCTTGGGTTGATCTGTTCTGCAAAATCCCCTCCAACACTGCATTAGGAAGTAGTATGGGTTGATCATTTCACCAATTTTTATGATTCACCAGCTGAATAGAGAAATATGATCTTATCAGATGGGTTATTTCTCTTCTGGGGAGTTTATTCATCCGTTTACAAGAAAGCACTCAGACTAGAAATCCCCAGCTGACCTTAGCTAGTGGTCCTGCTTTGAGGGAGATAAAACTTAAGACCTCCAGAGGCCCTTCTTGTTGGGCTGCTAGAAGGTAGATTCTATACTTCTGGTCTCCTGAATGTTTTGTGGTTTTTTGTGGGGTTTTTTTTTTTCAATGTGTTTTTAGCGTATGCATTTTCCATTGCACTAAGAAATGAGGGTCCTTTCTGTTAACACCAGTAGGTCTTGGGGACCTGGCTGTCCTGTGTCCTCGTTCGGAGCTGTGGGCAGATTGCAAACCTGGGCTGTGCCTGTGTGCTTGAGCACAATAGAAAGTTACTGTCATAGTTTCCAGTTCCTTGGCAGCCTGGGAGTAATCCAAGAGCAGCTGTGAAATACTGTCTGAACAGCGGCTAGAGCTTAAAGATGTCTAAGGGACCCTGCTGCGTGCAACTTCCCAGCATTTTCTGGGAGTAAAGGAATTATGTGAAAATCTCCCCAAGACATGATTCTCCGTGTCCTGAAATAGGCTCTTAAAAAGCCTTTTTCTGCTGGGACAGCAAAAGATGCTTTGGTTAACTAGCTCATATATTTGACTTGTAAACCTCTGGGGCAAGGTGGGGTGTCCCATGATGTGGTGCTGCCCATGGTGTACAGGGAAAGGGGTGCAGTGCACTCTTGCACTCAGCTGCACCTTCAAGCACTCCAGCACCAGACCTTGCTGCCACATCTGAGCCCATCCTTCCCCCTGAGACATCAGGGTCAATAGCTTAGGTGTGGCATCCCACAAGCGTACTGCTTCCCAGCTCGGCGCCAGCATGCCTGGAGCTGGTAGCCACCACAATCCATCCCTTCCCTTCCCCAGCACTCCGGGTCTGAAGGTTAAAGCCTTCCCTATGGAGGAAGGTGAGGAGTGCTTTAAGGTCCGCTGGAATTTCCAGGGAAACAATTTGTGTTTCTGGATGTGTTCATAATTACGATGATATATGAGTAACAGGCACTGTCTCTTTTGCACGCAGCATCCATTCAGAGCTGAAGTTAAGATAAAGGCGGAAGGCCGGGAGCTGATCTTGGAATTGGAGAAAAATGGGTAAGTGTGCTTGTGCCTTGCATTCTGAGTTGTGGTCTCACTAAAACAGTGAATACGGATTACAGTGAAGTCAACAGGAAAACCTCCACTGACTTCAACGGAGTTTTGATAAAGACAGGATGAGGAAGTCCTGGGTTATTCCAGGTCTGAGTCCCCATTGATGTTAATCATCCAAGCTGCAGTAACTGTAACAGAGCTTTGTCAGCAAAAAGTAGATGGTGACCTGGCCCTCACTGTGTAAACTTACTTTTGCCTCATAATTCTTACTGCATTAACTAGAAAATGCTGCTGATATGAAGTGTGCTATTTACCAGACAGCTCAATGCTTTAAAGTCAGTGTGACTCTAATGAGGATTTCATTTGCTGTGATCTGAAGAGGTCCTGCTCCATTTCCTAGGAGAAACTGTCTGACAGTTTCAATTCCATTAGTGCCCTTCATTAGTGCTGAAGTAGACTGAAAAAATGCTTTTGCTTTAACTGAAATGCAACCTCCTCTCAGGCATGATGCAGCGAGGCTGGGTGATATCATAGGGTGTGATGTGTATTGAATTCAGCTGAAGCTGCAGGAGAGTAAGGTAGGAAGGATTCTTGTTCGGAGGCTTGTTCCAGAGGCTCTGTGCCTGGTGAGTGCTTTAGTTTCCAGTGGTGGAACAGCAGCTGGAAATTTAGCTGCAAGAAGCTTGTCTTTGCTCAGTGGTCCACTTGCCCTGTTGGTGTTTTATTTATTTTTAAATGGGTATGAAGACTTATCTATGGAAACACAACCAAATGTTTATCTACTAGAATCAATAGGAATAATAACCTTGATTATATTTTTAAGTGTATTGCATGGGCATCCCAGCCACAGAGCTTGGGGGCTCAGCTTTCCTTCTGAAAACTGAAGTGTCAGAAGATCTTATTAGTTTTGATGGCAGTGCATAAACCTAAATTATATTCGGGGCATTTTGGAGGAAAACCAGGTTCTTCTTGGCACTGCCTGCAGTAAAGACCGGAATCTGATGGATGATGAAACGAAAGTACACCCTACGAGTTGTTTCCTGTAGCAGGCCACATAAGCTACTGAGAGTTTCAGTGCTGCAAGAGCTGGACACGTTTCCTAGGCAGCCATGCACCTGTGTAGAACTAAACAGGAACAGCTATAAATTCTGTGTGTTTTGGCATTTCTCAGCTTGGAAAATGGAGAAATGGTAGAAGAGACCAGGTACCATAAAGCACTGCTAACTCAGTCCTGCCTAAGGTAGGAAGGTCAGCTGTTGCTGACGGCAATGGTCAGCAATGCCTGTCTCTGAACTGAACCTGGAAGCAACATAACTGCTAATGCGGATGGGGGTCTCCTTCCTGGTGGAAGGATGTCAGGTCTTGCATATTCTGCAATCGCGATGCAAAGGTGAATTTGTTTCTGGCGCAGTAGAAGCTGGCAAGAACAAGGATGCTTGCTGAATTAATCCATTGGTGCCCTGAGCATGATGGCGTAACCTCCAGGTGCCTTGCGGGAGCGGTGCTGTGTTATTTCCAGAGCAGGAAAACTCATTGCTGGTGTTAGTAAACAGAATTATAATAATAGAAGGTTTCTATTGTGTTTATTTCCTGAAATGCATTTTCATTCATTGAGATGTACGCACACAGGCTTAAGCGTGCGCGCACACTTCCACTGCGAGATGAAGCGCCTTACTAGGACTGATGAAATACAGCAAGTTGTTCGGGGCTGTTTATTTTTATTTTCTGTGGAAGATGCAAGTGACTCGTAGATAGTAGAGTTTGATGTGGGAGTCTCGCCAGGCCTCAAGTCCTTGTTCAAGAAAGGTGATGGCACAATCCCAAAATGCAAGTCTGAACTTGATTAGATGAGAGGCTCTGGAGAGCCACCACTTTTCAGACACTTGTTGAATGTGCAGCGAGTCTCTGTTTAGAAACCCTCAAATTAAAAGAGAAGCACACAAAAACCTGAAGTCCATGGGAGCCCTGTGGATGCAACCATAGAGCACTTCTAAGTGGAGGCAAACTGCTTCTCCTTGTCAAAGCGTGCAGCAAGGCAGAGTCCTGCCTGGCTCCTCAGGTTCCCAGCCCAGGGGGATGCTGCTCCCCAGCACCCCGGAGCTCACCACTGCTCTTGCTTGTCTTCTAGGGGAGCCTGAGGCTCTAGCTGGGAATGCTGACTCGTTGTAGCATAAGGGACTTCTAAGTGTTTGTTAGGCACCCAGACAGTGGGAGAGAAGGTGAAATCTCCCAAGTGGGAAGTGTCCCCTCAAAGCTGTCTGAAACCTGGCTGTTCCTGGTTTTGAGTTCACAGGAAAGTGGGTATAACAGAACTGCAGCTTTAAGGAAGGTACTTGGGGATTTTTAAATGACCCAGAACTCTGGGGCTTATTTTGTTGATCTAGTTTAGAGGAGCCTCTGGAAACCAGCTTTGCTGCTAAGGTTGGTGCACTGCTCTCCCTCTGTCCCTGGGCTCAGCCCGGGGGTGTGAACGCACCTGTCTGGCTCCCGTTTTATTCTCATATCCACATCCCAGACTCCCACCACTCAAAGAAAGCATGAAATGATTGGTGTAATTTGGGCCTGGTTAGGATTTGATTTACTCATGGCTCCCAAAGCTAGAAAGGAGATACACCAAGCTAGTGGAACTGTTGTAAGTGATGTTCTTGGTGGATTAGGGAGCCTTGTTATGTGTTCACCATTCTTATGGAGAGACAAAGCTGATGAGAATATGAGCTTGCTTTGGAAGCAGCGGTGGGGGAAGATTCACAATCTGGATGGCTTTGGTAGGGATGCACCAGCTTTGAAAGAAACGCGCTGTTTTCAGTATGTGGAGGAAATGTTCACGCCAAGCTTGTGATTTCATATTCCATATGAAAAGGACATTGTGTTCACCCACAGAGGTGAAACACAGAAATTATTGCATATCTTTCTTCAGAACTGTGCACAACTCTGTTTTGTAATAAGCTTAGCACCCATCTGAGTTGGGGTTGCATATATCTACAAACACAGTTATTGCGTTAGCAGTGAACATCATATTGCATTATTTCCCGTTGAGGAGTTTGATAAGAAGGGAGAACCACGCTGCAGTTCCAAGCAGAGTTCACAACACTAGTTAACATTCCTGAATAACGACAAAAGTATATCCCCCAAATGACTTGGGCTTGTTTTAAATGACTCAAAACCGTGTCCTGCAGCTGCAGGATTGGAAAGCTCGAAGCTGCACAAACAACAAATATATGGAGAGATGCCTATAAAGCATCTTTAAATTTGGCTGGGGCTTAGGAACGGAAGAATTGGAGTTGTGAACCTTGGATGAAAAGTGAATTTTTTTAAAAAGGCATTTGCATTTGTTAATAAAAAGCAGCTTTGAGCCAAGCAGGGATGCTGAGACACTCTGAACACGTGTGGCAGCAGCACTGCCTGGTGTGAGCCTTTTCTCTGTGGTGAAGAGGACAGCTGGTGCTTGCACAGCAGAAACCTGCGTGAGGTTGGTCTTCTCACCTGAACGCAGGAAAACGTCAACAAGGCTTCCCGCTGTCTTCTCTTCTCTCAAGGGGAAAGCAGGCTTGGGAAAGGCTCTCTCAGCTGCAAGGGGTAGTGGAGGCTTCTCCAGGGAGCATCCCTGTCCACGGGTGAATCCCGTGGGCAGCGTGGGGCACAGTCACGTGTTTTAGCTGCGTATTTTGGCTGCTGCCTGCTCCCAGCAGCCGTGGGGCACTTGGTGGCAGAGCCGCAGTGATGGGCAGCAGCTGGCTGAGGACATAGCAAAGAAAGCCCAAACTTCATCTATCTGGAATGACCTTGGAGCAATCCAGATAGTTATTTTTAGGCAACTGGATCTGATAGGGAGCAGTATCGTTTCCAATCTCTTCTGGCCCCACCCGGGTAGGCGACAAGCACTCCAGCCCCGCTCGGTGTTCTCAGCGGTGCGATAAGAGATCTGGATGTCACTTGTATTTCACCGTTTCCTGCGTTGGCTCATTTGCAGGGCTTCTTCTACCAGCTGAGTGAGGAGGAGGGGAGGCTGCTGCCCGCCTCTGAGCCGGAAGGATATATGAGATTATTCCATTGATGGGCTACACATCATCAGTGTCTAATGGGCTTCCTGCACAAGGGGGTAAGGGTTAAGTAAAGGAGGGAAATTGAGTTTATCCTGCTCTACTGTCTCATGGGGTCATCAGATAAACAGGGTTGGGACCTGGAAAGCCGTAGCTGCTTTTCAGCCTCCTAATTCCCTTGGGAAGTTCAGTGATTTCTCAGTGTGGGGCAGGGAGGAAGAGATGAGGAAATGGGACCCTTTATATCTGTTGCTCCCTGACTCATTATCAGTCAGTTTCCCATTTATGTTATTTCCATTTTCCTCTCCAGGCAACTTTTATGGTTCCCATTGGTAAGCCAAGGGGCTATGTGACAAATTTTGCTTGGGTCCTGTAACGTGAGTTACACCGTGAACGTCACAGATGATGTGGATGGCAAAAGGGGATGGAGTCTTTAGCCTGTGATATTTTCCCAGCCTTACAAATAGCTAGTTTAGTTCCACCTCAATAGCTGGGAAGCTGATTTTTCCTTCCAGGCTGCTGCTGTTCACACAATAAACATGTTCTCAGATGGATCAGCAAAAGCTCTTGAGGAAGGGAGTTTAAGAGCTCCAGGCTTTGTCTGGATGAAACTCACCAAGGAAAAAAAAAATTGATTTCAGGGATTTAATTAAGTGCCAGGTTTTGTCTGGAGGATTCCAGAGAGGTGAAATCTCTGATTTCCCACTAGTGGGGATATGGAAAGCAGGCCTGTCTGCTCCTATTGTCATGGGTCATGTGTTGGTTGTATTCAAGACTGAGTCAGCTCAGGTTTTGGTAATAAATTCTGACTTTAGGGAACATTTAAGTGACTGGGATGAAAGGGATCAAATTCCCCTTCTTACCCTACTTGGATCCTGTTGAGAGGCAGTGGAGTGGGACCACAAATTGTAGTTGGAAATCTGATGTCTAAACTTTCTTGGGAGAGTTGATTCCCTCCACCCCCGATATTGGCAGCCTGACTGGACAGATTTATTGTGATTTGAGGAAAGGGACAGGGGCAGAGATGTAAGAGATTGCAGGCTTCACTTCTCTTGGTCCCACAACTGAAAAATTAAAAGTCAGTGTTTCTCATGAGAGCTTCATGGACCATTTAACTTTTGTTTTTTGTGAGAAAATTAAAAAATATGTCTGTCTCCTAGACACTCATGGGTGTTTTTAAACTGGCAGCTGTTCATGCAGACTAGCCCCTCTGTAAAATAAACCCAAAGTTGCTTGTGGGACCATATTATAAAAAAATCCTTCTTGATCCAATTAGCAAGAGCACCAGTGTGCTGTCAGGGCCTTCCCAATGCCCATGGGTTATCTCTGGCTGCTAGAGCCAAGCACATTCACAGTGGGATGGAGGGCTCTGAGCCCCTCTAAGACTTGTGCTAACAAGTGATGTTTCACAGGCACGAGAAAACTGCTCCCATTTATCAGGAAAACAGGGGTGAGGTTCTCCAGAGCAGCCAGGAAATGTGCACTCCCTCTAGTGAACGTGGTCATGCACGAAAGGCCCCAGCTTTCCTTCAGCTGTTTTTGGGAGCGTTTGGGTGTGCGCTGCAGCCCCTCTCCCCCAGCTGCTTCCCTGCAGTGGCCAGATGAGCTGGAGGTCATGCTCTTGAACTGTCCTCAAGTGCCACAGGGACAGCTGCCCTCTGAGAAAGATGGATTTTTGCCCCACGCCCTCAGCCTGCCTCTCCCATTGAATAGCATCAGCTCACATGCCAAGTATGTGACCTCCCTGGCACGGCATCTTGAGGTGGCCAGGCAGAGCCATGCTGCCCTGTAATGTCAGCTTGGCACTCAGGGCCCTTCCAGGCAGCAGCACATCAGTGTGGGGAGGAGGGTTTTGTTTCAAACAATGATATCATTGACAGGCTGGAGTGGGACCAAGATCACTCCACGTCGGTCATCAGCAGAAACAGTCTCAAGCCATCTGTACATTATGGCACTGAGCCACTCTTCCTTCATTTGGCTTCCTCACTTGTATTTAACCCAGCTCCCAAGGCTTTCTGGGGAACAAATCCTGCCAAGAGCAGGCTATTCCACCCTGAGCTCAATGCTGAGCTGGATCTTGGGGAACGACTGATCTTGCCGAAAGCTGGTTGCTGTTGGAAAGGTGTAAGGGCTTCCCTACAACATCTTGAGTGCTCTCGTGCAGCTTACCCCAACCTCAAACAGCCCCACATGGCTGCAGCTGGGATCAGGGTTTAGCAGAGGAGAGTGCTCCCATCCAAACCCAGCTTTTTGTCTGACTTCATCAATTCTTTATGCTGATAACTCCTCTAATGAGGGACTTCATGTTGCCTTTTAGGAAGATGATGTGTGCTAGCAATCTGCCAGCTGCCTGACTGGATCTCAGAAGCCTTTAAATGATGTTATTTTGCATCCAAACTTTTGCAGCATCATCTCGAGCTGCTAGAGAGGTAGCCACTGAGACATATAGTGTAACAGAGAAGAAAGGATCAAATGGTGATGTTTTTTCCAGGCTTTCATTCTCCAGCAAGGAGGTGAGCTCTGTGCTGCTCTAGAAACGGTGAATCAGGTCCATCAACACTTTGCAGGGCTGAGCTCTGCTGGAATCAGCCATCCAGCCTGGCAGTGATGCTATCCTGAAACAATGGCAGATAAAGGCCGCTGCCAAGGTTTTGGGGTACTGGTGTCTTGCTAGCCTCACCTCTTTATCCAAGAACTGGTGTGTGTGGAGATGAGGGACAAGACTGGCTGATAACTGGGGAACTCTGAGAAAGAAGGCTTCTTTTCTACTTATTTACAGTTTGGTGGAAGGCTTGATACTAGCTGAGGAAGTAAGCTGGGCTGGGGGTGAGCTTTCACAGGCTCTGAAGTGAGATAGCACCCCAGGGTTGTTGCAAAATGTCCTGTTGTTTTTCCTCTTTCCTCACTGCCCTCCTCACTGCACATAGTGCCATGCACTGCCATAGCCCATCTCAGCAGTGCTGCAAGAGCTCCCTGTGTTAAGGCAGGGAAGGCTCTTCAAAAAAGGACTGGTTTTGCTCAGAAAAAAGAAGCTGGAGCAATTTTAGGGAGCCTGCAATGTAGGATAGGAGTCCACTGGTGGAGAGAGGCTTGAGAGTCGTAACATGGCACCACTTGGCCAGATGTTTCATGCTTTCAGCTCTGTAGCTGTGTAAGTATCTGTCAAATTCAGGCAGACCTCTCAGCTCCTGAATCCACACCAGAAGAGGCTAGAGGCTTCTGCAGGTAGGAAGAAAAGTGCACACACAGTGTGTTGTGTGGCATCATCCTGTGCCCTGAAACATGGTGTGCCAGGAGCTGGTGCTCAGCCTGGCCCAGCTCAGCACTGGGACTGGGCGGGAGGCAAAGCACTGAGGAGTTTTATGCTAGAGGCTGGATGAGAGATAAAATAGCTATTCATAGTGAATGCTTTCCAAGAATAAAGCAGCAGGAAGAAGACATAAGTGTGCTTGTTTGGGAATGAAACAAGTAGGCTGTGCAAGCCTCAGCTACTGGAAATCCTTGGGCTGGTGTCTAATTCTGGCTTTCGTAGCACTGGGCAGATGCACACTGGTTTAGTGTCTACTCTCAAAATGAGAGTCTCTAACACAGACCAGATACCTGCCAGAGCACATTACTCAAGGCAATTTCCTGAAAGTTAATGCAATCTGTTGATTAAACATTTGTTTCTTGCAGCCTCATGCTGAGCAAGCTACTGTAATCAGGGAGATGAAAGGAGTTGTTTTCTGTGGGATGGTGCTTCTGTGCTTATCTTCAGTTTACAGATCGGAGATAGCTGAATGCGGCAATCTCCGAGTGATCAGAACCTCCTGATCACTGACAGCATCTGGTGATGAGAATTAACACATCAGAAAGGAAAAAAAATGAGCTTTTCTGGGCTGCAGTGACTTTGAAAGGGGAGATAAAAGCTGATGTATTCCTGACATCAAATGCTGTCAAATACAAGTGGCACGCAATTTTGTCTGACACTAAGCCATGGATACTTGTTCAGGTGCCTGAGCCTTTGGATGCCAGATGGGGGAAACACTTTCAAACACTCTGATAAAAGGTTACATTTCCTGTTGCTCTGGCCTAATTTAATTAGACATCACAAGCACCCAATCCCTTATTCAAACAGAGGCTTTCAAGGTAGATTAGACCTGACTGCCACATAGCAAAACCCAAGACAAATGGAAAAATCCTTGGTTTTGCTTCTGATACAACTTTCTTCATCCAGCCTAAAGAAATCAAAGAAAGGAAGGGAACTTTTGCTTTCTTGCAAGTCATAGTTCAAAAATCTGATGCATGAACTGCATTAAGCAGGGATGCAAAAAGCCTGAGCTGCAGTGTTGCTGGCATCACGCTGCCCACGATGCACGTGGCATCCTCGTGGCGTGGCAAGTGGCCTGAGAGCACCACGGGGTTGCCGCAGACAGTGTTTCGTAGACGAGACACGTTCTGTGATCCTTCTCCAAACTTCTGGAAGTGAGGCCATTGTTTTAAAAAAGCTGTTTTAAACCTACATTTTATTGCTGCTGAGATGGACACAGGATATGACCTTCTTGGTTTGGCCCAGATTTTGACTTGCTGTATTTTTTTACATCACTGTTTAGCAAATGCAGATGTTTAAAAAGAAGGGACAGGCTGTTGCCTCTGGAACCAAATCAAAACACTTACTATTCAGTGCACAGGAGCGCCTTTTATAGACTTTTGGTCTGAATCTGGGCTGAAGACAGGGAGAATATTGTCTATATGAGGATGACACAAATTCAAACTGGGGAATCAGCATTTTCCTAGGACAAAGATGGGAATCAGCTTCTGGGCAGAAGTTGAAATGTAGATGCAGATTGGTTTATAATTGTGCTCACACTGGGGCACTGGAGGGAGTCTGGATTTGAGCTGAGAACTCACTCCAGTGCTCAGATGTGTCCTAAACTGGCCTGTGGTGTGTTTGGTATGCTGGACTTGGTGTGCTGAATCTAATCCCAGTATATCTGGGGCATGGCTTTGCAGTAGTAAACTCTGATCAGAGACTTGCACCATGAAGGGAGGAGGGGGATGTTGAGGGTTTTTATAAGTCATCATGAAAAATTGACTTGTTCACCTGCAGTTTGGAATTGGATCTCAGCACCTGACTGAACCCAGGGACAGGCTCTCCTTTATTGTTTTAATTTAATAAAAAGCTTGAAAGAGCACTTAGGAAGATGGCTTGCTGTGCCCTTTCAGAAGTGGGTGTGCTCCATGGGAAGAAGTGCTCTGCTGCTGCCAGGGCGGCAGATAGATGGATGTGGCAAGGTCAGCTCTACTTCACCTTCTGACCCTCTGCCATCTCAGCGTGCTCTGCAGAGGGATGCACAGCCTGCGGCACCCGATGGCTCCTGTGCCACCAGGAAGCTATTAGCCATGTCCTCTCTGGGGACAGCCTGTTAACAAGTGCCTTGAAGGCAGAAAGAGATAGTCCAGAGCAGAGTGCAGGGAGAGAGAGAGACAGCGTAGCTTTCAGCCGATGTCCCCCAAATACCCTGCCTGCCCTCTCTGTGCATTGAAATGGGGTTTCCACTGCAGGTAGCAAACAGCAACTGTCCCAAGTCCACAGCAGTGGATCACAGCAACAGCAATATTTACACTGGCTTCAGAAATTGCTGCATTTAGCTGATTTACTAACACCTAGGAAACAGAAATCCAGGTCTAAAGAAAGGTCTTATTGTCTTTTTAAATTATTTTTTTTAAATGTTCTTCCCCCCTCCCTGCATCTGCAGAAAACTCTTTGCACCAAGCTACACTGAGACTCATTACAACCAGACTGGACAGCCCCAGACCACCTCTCTGAGCCCCATGGTGAGTGCAGAGTGCTTTCCCTCCCACAGCATGCCGGGGAGACCAAGCAAGGGGCCCGGAGGAGTAGGTGGCCTTCTTTCTCCAGAGCCTTTCTTTGAGGCTACGGGTGTGCTTTAAGCTGAAGGGGAGGGCAGTCTGACTTTCTGACCTGGGGGTTCCAGCAAAACAGCATCTCCATCCCCCAGCAATGGTAAAAACATCTTACTGTTTTACCCGAGTTCTGATATGAGAGCCCAGGTCAGCCTCCAGCATCACTCACCTCTCTCTGGGTGCTGGGGGATCGTTTATTCCTCCTGCTGCTCACCCTCTTGCTTTTAGTTTTGCCACTGGGTAGTCCACGCCGGGGACATTCCCAGCCTTTGGGAAAACCAGCCCGTGTAAGCTGGCTCATGTTCAGTAAAAATCCCATGAATTACACAGGCCTCGGCTGACTCCCTGCTGCAGTGGCACAAAGATGTGCATTGGTTGTGATGCAAAAATAAAGAGATAAAACCCCCATGAGATCATTTTTACTGATACTCCCCCGGGGTGAGTGGAAGGGATGTGATGAATATGTTGGTGTTTCTGCCCTAAAGCCTCCTTGTCTCCGCCAGAGGCTGCTTTTGTCTTTCCAGGAGCCCCCAGCCAGAGACTTCCCCACTGCCTGTGGTGTCACCCACTCTGGGGCTGAAGGCATGTCCTTTGGTGCCTGACCCAGGGCCAGCTCCATCGACAGGCAGCTCCCATTACAGGCAGAAAGCTTTGGATTGGCCTTAATGCTGCAGCCATCCGAGTTGCTTCCTTGGGGATTCAAAGCTCTTAATTTTTACTGGAAACAAGGAGCTGTTTGATGCACTTGCACAGGCCATGCATGACGGCTGAAAGGCCAAATTTCAATGCAGACCCAGAGATTTAGTTATGATAGTTAATTGCCAAGTGCTGTGGAAAGAGAACAATTACTGGTGTATCAGCAGTACTCACATGGGACTCAGTGATTTCCAAATACAGCACCTGTCCATCCCAAAACTGCACTACCAACCTGTCTCCACTCTGCCTTCCAGGACCACTGCTTTTACCACGGGGTCGTGCGGGGCTGGGAGCACTCCAGCGTCACGCTCAGCACGTGCCGAGGGCTGCGGTAAGTGCCTGGTGATGCCAGAGCTGTGGGAATGCCTCTGCTCAGCTCCTCAGCGTGCTGCCATGTGAGCTCTGCTCCCCAGCAGTATTCCTTCCTGAGCAGATAGACCTCTTTCTCAAATGCCACCCAGCCAAGAGTCTTGGGCATAAAAGGAAATGTGACAGGGGAAATGCAGAAATTTGGGTATCATTAGTAACCCTGGCCTCCTAGCCAGCTCCTCGACTTCTTTGTCTGGCAACGTGGACTTGTGCAATAAGTGAGCTTGAGTCAGGAGTTCACTGAAGCAAAAGACTCTCTTGTTAGTGACTTACAGGGACAGGACTTGCCACGTCCCAGCCTGATGCTCTGCACTAATGCAGGAACCAGCCCCTTCCAGCCTCTCACGACTGGCAGGATTTCATGTGTGTTGAGGCAATGTCTTCACGTCTGAACTTCCTCCTGGGTTGTCAGCCCTGCTCTCTGCTTTCTCCCTGGGTGGTGCAGGGTTGTGTGTGTTATGCGTTTAAAATCCTCGCTTTGGTATTAATGGAGTCTTTGGCAGGAAAACACAGTCTGTATCCTCAGCAGGACTAAATGAAACGGCTTGTTGCAACCAAGGAACTGCGTTCATTTACACCAGCTCAGAGTTTATTTCCAAAACACCACATGGGCTTTATTGATATTAGTGGTCATCTGCTCCGGAGCACCGATTGGAAGCTGATGGGACCGGCTCCAGCCAGGAAACAGCCTGTGCCAAAGCAAACCTGAGACATCTTAAGTGAATGCAGCACAGGCCAAAGAGCCCAGTGAGATAAACAGGACAGTGCAGCCACCTGGGGTTTGCAGTAAATAATCCCAAAGCAAAAGCAGTCGCAGGTGTGCCTTGCTGCTCTCTGCCTGCGTTTTCCTAGGCTCTGCCTCCCCTGCTGCAGAGGAGAGAGAGATGCCTCCTTGGTGTGCACACGTGGTGCGTTCCTGCATCTCTGAGCTGTCAGTGCTATGCTGACAACTCCTCGACATCGTTTTCTAATTGCTGGGAAGGCACAGGCGCTGAGAGCACACGGCTGTTGTCACTCTGAGCCCTCGTGGGGCAGTGTGCTGCCCATCCAGCCATACATCTGCCAGTGGGCATCAAACACAGGAGATTTCCAGCTCTCCTGGCTATAACATGCTCATTGAGAAAACCAGAACTGCATGGCTATGTACAAATCCCAGAGAGAACTGTGTTTTTTTTCTGTTTACAAACAAAGTCCTCACGTTGTTCAGGTCAGTTCTGTTAAAGACAAATTTCTTCTATGTATTGAAAAGCTTACACTCCTCCTAAAGAAAAAGCTGGAGTTTAAAAGATCAGTTCTTCTCAGGTTAGCACTGTTGCAGCACATGCTCCAATAGCCCCTTAATTGAATCTCTGGGTTCCATTGAATAGACTTTAATATATGCAAGCTCAGAGATTCCCTGCTCTGAACTCAAAATATCTCTATCCTTTTTATTAATGAATGACCTGGTAAGGCTAAGTGCCTTGCCAGGGTCAGATGGGAATGCAGCAGCAGCAGAAGCATTTGTCTCCAGTTGCTGTCATAGTAATTAACTTTCCCTCTTATTGCTTCCCATTTCAACAGAGGACTTATCGTACTGAGCAGCAATTCCAGCTATATCTTAGAGCCGGTTCCCGACAGCCCAAACCAGCACTTGATCTACAGGTTGGACAACCTGAGGTTGCAGAAAGGAGCCTGTGGCTACCAGGGCACCAGGGATGCTGCCGAAGACTGGCTCAGGGACTTCACAGCTGGGATGAAACCACCTCGCCAGAGGGTGAGCAGGGCTCATCTGGGTCCATGCATGCTGCTCCAAATTTTGCACCTGTTCCAAGCCTGAGGAGCCTGCTGTTCTCTGGGAGCACAGCTCAGAAAGTGAAATGAAGGCCAATATTTAAGAGGGTTTGTAGCAAGCTGGTTGCCAAACCGTGGCTCCAGCAGGGAAACAAATGAGTGTTGGGGGCCATGGTGTAGCGTGAGGAATCTGGGCTGCAGCCGTTCCTGCACAGATTTGTGCATCTGATACATGACGAAAGGGGTGGGCTGAGGACGGGCACATGGGCACTTCCTGTGGCTACACTGACTTGTGATACTTGGTTGCTGTAAGTCAATCACATCTGGAGGTCACTCTGTGTGATGGGGGCTGTGAATGGCCAGTGAAAACAAACAGGGAAAAAATGTGCTGTATGCACGTTTTGCAAAGAGTTTCTTGGGGGATATGGGGGAAATAAACTCTGTTGCTGCTGCCACAGGTGAAACGCGAGACTCTGCAGGCTACAAAGTACGTGGAGCTTCTGCTCGTGGCTGATTATGCAGAGGTAAGAGAAGGGATCCTGTAGTGCCAGGCCCAGAGCAATCATCCCACCTGCAGCATCTCTCTGGGCAGGGAGTGCAGATGGATCTCAACAGGTTTCCTCTTGCCATCCCGACAGTCCTACCCCCACCAGCAGTCAGGGAGAGCTGGGTCTTGGTCACTTTTGTCCTAGCAGCCATGACTCCTCTGCTGCCACTGACAGTCACTGTTGGCCAGCAGAGAGATGCAGGTTGTGGTTTGGCTGAAGGACTAGGGTTGGGGGTCAGTTCTTGCCTCCCGAGGTACCAGTGGTCAGCCCTGGTTATCAACAGGAGAGACTGCCTTCAGCCGAAGGCGAGTGACTTGCTCCTAAGTCCGCAGTACACTTAACCATGGTTGTCTTCTCCAGAGGTTATCCTCTGCTCTGAGCTGGTAGCAGATATATAAACAGACTTTTTCAAGGCTCCAGATCATACAGTAGGGATGAAAGAAACCCAGTGAAGTCAGCAATCCCTCCCCCACCCCCAGCCTGGACAGCACCCCAGACGCACTTACTGACAGTGCAAACCACGCAGGGTTCTGCTAATCATTTAATCTCCAGCACAGACGGGACTCAGGCTGGTCTATTCATTATTTACAACTTAAAACTCCAGTAGTGAAAGCCATGTAATGCTTTGGGCTATAATTTATTTTGAACAAAACTAGAGAGGCAGAACCTATTCCAACCTTCTCCATTAGGCAGCAGGATACCAGGGAAACTATGAGAAAACACGTCTGTACCCAGGAGCTGCCATATGTTGTTCACCATTTCCTGAGACAACCTGGGGCAGAGACTCTTGCAGTGTCGTTAGCTGCTCTACTGTGTTTACTGTCTCCCTTGCTAGAAGAGAAGTCCCAGGTTTTGCCATCTGTTAAATAAAAATCTAAACATTTTGCAACTTTAATGCCTTGAATCAGTTTGCTAAAATTAACTCATTAATTGCCAGGAGGTTTAAATAGGCAAATTCATTGGATGAGTGAGATGCATCCCGTTTGTTGGATGAGTGCGATGGGATGAGTGCTATGGCAGCCTTGACCTCAGACACGAAGCCCTGTTACCATGTATTTTACCTGGCAAATTTGTCAGTTCTTTGTCAGCCCCTGACTCTGGGGGGTCTGATAAGTTTCCTTTGCTCCACTGACTTACAGCCACCGTTTGAGTAACATTGCTGCAGTGGGATTCCAGGAATGAATTCTGAATATACCTGTACAGGTGGGCTTATAGTCAGATGTACAGTGAAGGATGGGCTTCACTCGATAGTTACCTTCTTATTCCCAGAGTAATGTGTCTTGTTTTAACACGTTTCAGCTCTTCCTAGTTGCCTTTGTGCTGTCTGACATGTTCATTTTGTTCAGTTTCAGAAGCATCACTTCAGCATTGAAGCAACAAGGCTTAAATTAGTGGAGGCTGCTAATTACGTAGATAAGGTGAGATCAGGTGTGTGTGAAGTGAGGAAAGCAAAGTCCAACTCGTGCATTATGAGAATAATTGTGTCAGAGGAATACTGCCTTCTTGGGAGAGGGAATAATGTTTTAACAGTTCTCCCCAGTGACATGGGGAGTGGAGAGCACTGAACAATTCTGTTGTTGGATATCTGGGGTGGGGTGAGGGAATCTCCATTCCTTACCTTGGAGCCAGAATGAGCACCCTTGTGTTTTAATACATCTCTGTATTAACTATGTTACATGAATACTGCTTTTTGACAAGGGACTAGGGCATTCACTTTACACTGTAGAAATCTTGGCAAGTAGAGGTGGAAGAAGCCTTCAGAGATCACCTTTGCAGTGGTACTCACTGCTGCTGAATTAAATGTCTCAACTTTTTAGACCTACTTCCTTCATACTCCCCTTAAACTCCTTCCACTGCTCCCTTCACACCCCAACCATGAAGACTTGACGTGTTTGTATTTGATGTGGGCAGCAGATTATGTCCTTCCTCTTTTCAGGAATTTTGACATATCTAAAGATAAAAATTATCTCAGTCTCCAGCTTCTGTTTTCTAGATTCACTCATTTAAAAAATGAAAGTTCAGTGTTTCTAGTTCAATGAGTTTAGGTTTGTGGGTGGTGCACATTTCCCTCTGCAGAGCTGTGGAGCCAGATTGCAGTGTGTTTCCAGAGAGAACATCTTCTCTGGACATGTGTATCTGTAGGAGCATTTAGCAGGGTTTAGATACAAGATTTAAATGACAGTAAAATAAATAAGTGGTGCTCATTTTGTCATCTCTTTTGCTTCCTGTATCTTAGTTTTACAGATCCCTGAATATCCGGATTGCCTTGGTGGGACTGGAGATCTGGAGTAATTGGAATAAATGCGATGTAACCGAGAACCCCTACTCCACCCTGAAGTCCTTTCTGGCCTGGAGTAGCAAGGAGCGGGCACACAGAAAACATGATAACGCCCAACTAATCACGTAGGTTTATTTCTCCTGAAATATTCTCCTGTTTGGGTGGATGAGAAATCAGTACGTGAGATTACACGGTTCCAAGATTCAGAGTGGCACATTTATGTGGTGACTGTGTGGCCAGCATTAAGCTTTGGCACCGAGAGCACAATAACCTTAGGAGAAGTGGAGGTCCCAGGCTATGCAGCAGTCTCCATACACAAGCACCAAAGTGCATCAGCTTATTGTGTGTGTGTGTCACAGGCGGCTGCACATGATCTGTCACAGCTACATATACAATTTCAGGAAAATCTGAGTCATAAGCAACACCTGTAACGGGGAGTTAAGCCCTTTGCAGAAGACATTTGTTCTTAACTCATCCCTCTGAGACACGGGCAGCACGGTGCTGGGAGCTAGCTGATGATCTGTGGCTCATGCTACTGACCTCATTAGGGCCAGTAGCTATGGCCAGATGTCATTGGATGAAAAATTTGCAGCAATCCTTAGACCTCCTTACCTCTCCCATGGTAATTCATCCACCAGTAAACAGGGGTGAGTCAGAAGAGAGACCTGTAGGACTGAACTGCATAGATGCAATGCCTTTTCCCTTGTTTGTTTGTTTGGGGTTTTTTTCCCTTTAACATTACTATATTTCACCTTCACCTAGTCATGTCCTGAGCACGATTTTCAAGGCTCCCATTTCAGACATGCTATCAGGGATGGTGCAGAATTCCAGCTTGCCAGGCAGGAACCGAGTGTGGCTGCATCTCAAAGGTGTTATCTAGTCCTCTGACAAATCCTTGAGTCCCAGGCTGGCAAATAGCAGGCTTAAGGTAAATTAAGTGTTTGGATCCTTAATTGGGTATTGTTTCAAAAATAGTATTTTCTGTGCTTGTTGCAAAGCTCAGGGGAAGCACTTTTTGGCACCAGACCATTATGAAGAATAGGATTGGCTGGTTGGCCCATAAAACAGAATAGTAGCCAAAGAAAAATAGGTCTGAGGGCTTTGTAGCTCTGCTATAATGTCCTGTACTTGAAGATACGATAAAGAAAATGTATTCACCCGATGCTGTGGATATGTATAAAGCTGTGGACTGCAGGATACATTACTCTGCCTTGCCTTCTCAAGTGCCTTGGTGACATTTCATGGTCTTTTTGGGTTGATTTTAGGGGTGTGCCCTTCCAAGGTACCACAGTAGGCTTGGCTCCTGTGATGGCCATGTGTTCTGAGTTCCAGTCAGGAGGAGTAAACATGGTAAGCAATTGCTAATGCCTAATATGATGTTTCTTGCCAGCAGTATGTAGGACAGATGCCTCCTAAAGATCAGGAAGAAAGTATTTCCCATGAAGGCCTCTAGCTCATGCGCTCATAGGCAGGAATACCTTCAATAGATGTTTTCTACATGTAGCAATGAGAAGTGTCACTTATCCCGTTGACTCAGAGGTGCACAGGACGGGCACAAGTGAAATGCTGACTTGCCTCTTTGACCTTGCACAGGATCACTCTGATAATGCCATTGGTGTTGCTGCTACCATTGCCCATGAGATGGGACACAATTTTGGCATGAATCACGATTCGGCTGGCTGCTGTACTACCCCTGCAGAAGACGGAGGCTGCATCATGGCTTCTGCAACCGGGTGAGTCCGTCAGACAGATGCAAAGGGCTTTGTTACAAGAGCATTGGTGGGATAAGAGCTAGAAATGCAGACTGAAGGTGGGTCTGCTGCTGCCTCTTGGAGGCAGTGTGTTTATGGAGAAAATACTGCTGGGCAAACCCTGGCTCACATATCAGTAGCAATTTGCTAAACTCCCAATGAACTTACTTCGTCCGAGATTGGCTTTAGGTGATGTAGGACCTGGCAGCATTTAGAAGTGGAGCTCTAAACTGTCAGGTAAAAAGGAAAATTTTCTTATCTTCTGTCCTGAGAGGCTGTCTCAGGACTCCTCTAACCCCTCATCTCTGAGTTTGTGCTTCCCAATGGGTCCTACCAAATGATCCATCACACCAAAGCAAGTGCAGTGTATATATGCACACATCTGCCTGCAAAACCTGCACTGCCTACTGCCAGCAAGTACAGAGAAACGAGGGGTGACCAGAACATGTGTGACCTTGGCATGTGCAGGTTTACAGGGGTTTTGTTTCTCTGTTGCACACTAACAGATGTGTAGATAGATAGTTGATACGGTTTCTAAAGCATCTCAGGCTAAAGATAATGTGAGCATAATGTGGTAATGAGGAAAAACGACTGCTTTAGGAAAGAACTGACTTGTTGCAAGGCACAGCGATAGGGCTGTATTTCTGAGTCAGGAGACATGAACATAGATCAACTGCATGTTGTCTTAAGAATACTGCTTGGTTTCAGTGAGCCACAGAAAGCCTGTGTTTAAAAGGGAAGACATAGCTGGCCTGAGGGAAAGGAGAAGCGAGACTGACTCTGGAAACCCACAGGGATTCCAGAGCTCATTTTGGATGAGGAACCACAACAGCTTCCATATTTCAGTCACGTAAAAACACTCACTGAACCCATTCACTTAAAGCCACATTCCCTGTCTCCTCAAGCCTTCTTTCTTGGGGTTTAGCAAGTTTTAACAAAATTTTCTCCATAGCTACATTCTTTTACATGCATGATTTCCTTCAATAAAGAAAAAAATTTGGGTGAGAAGTGGAAACATAGTGGCATGAGAGAGGAACATGAATGTACATACATACAGTCATATATAGAGAGTGCATAGGTTCTGGCACTGTAGCAACAGAAATTAATAATTCATGTAACAGAAAATGATCACAGCCTTTGCAAGGAGGCAGTAGATAGGAAAAAGAAAATATTATTTTTATCAGTTAAATTCACAAATAGTTATTCACGGTCCAAGTGATGGATTCTCAGGTATGTTCAAGCAGAATTTGGAACAAGCTGCAGCTTCAGTATTGAGCAGGGAAGGACCACTGTACATCTCAGCTGTCAAAGCCGAATCTAACTCAACTTATTTTTCTTTCAATAAGGTTTGTTTTTTAAGGCTGGTATATCACTAGACAGTCTTGCAGTGCAATCTCACCTTATCTTCAAATGGAATCCAGATGGATCTGATTTGGAACAGGCACACAAAATCACGATCTGCTTTTCCACAATTTCATAGACTTCAGAGAAGGACCCGTGCCCTTTGACACGTGTCAGGATTTGCATGTGCTCATTTTTGGTTCTCTCAAGCATTGCCTGGATCTGTCATGATGTTTTTCTACACTGTCCGTATTCAGGCACCCATTCCCCAAGGTGTTCAACCAGTGCAATAGAAAAGAGCTGGAGAAGTATCTGCAGTCTGGTGGAGGGATGTGTCTCTCCAATATGCCGGATACCAAAAAAATGTATGGTGGGAAGAAATGTGGAAATGGCTACTTGGAAGAGGGGGAGGAGTGTGACTGTGGAGAGGTGGAGGTAACAATTGTTCAGATCCAACCATTTGGGGTTTAGTGGGACACAGTGATTTTATTATGTATTTTGCAAATGCAGTTATGCGATGTGTAAACAGCTGTTGTTTGTGCAGGAGGTATGCATACCTTCCCTGTACGTAAAGGCATACACCATGTAAATCAAGGTTGTAAGTATCACGTCTAACTAAATTTACAGTGCGTAGTACAGTGCATCCCAGAACTCAGGGATGGTGTAATCCATGGTTGAACACAAGTGAAGAAAAATTCATTTAAAAATGAAATGAAAAAGTGATCTTAGATGTTGCAGTTTCATGTGTAACTTCACTTTACCTGCGGCTCCATTCTTGGTAACGATAGGGCTTCTCTTAGCACTGCATCTCGCTTCTCCAAATCTGTATTTTGACTAATAAGACAAAAGGGAGCTGGAACAAGCAGCCCAGGCTTGATGTAATGAGCACAGCCTATAGTATCCAGTCAGTCTGTCAGAGGGTGTAATTATGCAGCACTGTATTTCAGCACATGCCGAAATCGGTATCGTGAACATATTGTGGAAGGAAGGCTGTTGCTTCGTTTGCATGTTATTCATCGTGTACGAGAACAGATGAGCCTCAGCCTCACACTTCGATGCTCTGTCACGTTCTTGTCTGGATCATCTGCCTTATAACCTGCTGCATCTCACTGTCTCCTAGGAATGCAACAACCCCTGCTGCGACGCCAGCACCTGCTCCCTGAAGCTGGGTGCTGAATGTGCCCATGGCAGCTGCTGTCATCAGTGCAAGGTGGGATCTCTGGGTTTTCCTAAGAGTGGAGAGGGCATAACAGTGGTGGAAGCATGAGGCTGAAAAATGGAGGGGAAGGGGGAGCAAAAAGAGCCATATGTAGAGTTCAGCTCCTCACCTGCAAGCAACATGGTCTGATTTTTTCGGTACAAGACCTACGAGTGCAGTCAAACTAGAGGGGTCCTTTCTTCTAGCTGACTGATTTAACTGACTCCTGTGACAGCTTAAGGTGAGCTGTGAATGTCGCTGGAATGAAGTCACACTGCCTCTCCTGAACCCTTAGGGGTGGCATGACTCAGAATGAATATTTCTCTCCTTTGTCTCTAGAAAAAGTCTAAACAGAGCTCTTAGAGCAACCACGTCCTCTGAGGATTAGGCTGGATTCTGTCTTTGCTCTGAACCTCTTTTCAGGGGTGCGGTTGAATTCCTTTAGGTGCTTGCTGAAGACGTGCTAGCAAGGAGGATTGTATACGAGTGGCCACGATCATTTGAAATCTCAGCTTTCCTTATAGGGGCTGGTTAAGATCTCAAGCTTTGACAGCAAATGAACTCGAAAATGAACACAGGCAAACATCTCTCTTAAGCTTTTTTTGTGTTTGCACATTGACTGCGTGCTGTTACTGACCTATCCTGAGCATGTGGAAAACAGTTTTTGAGAATCCACATGGGCTCACTCCTTTCACAAGAGACTTGGAAAAACCTCCTGGATGTAACTGTGTGTGTCCTTGCGTTTCCATGTCCGTGGTGCGCAGGACAGGGATGAACTGGGCAAACTCGTAAGCAATGGAGACATAAGCTGAGCATTAGGAGAATGTCTCCAGCAGAAATGACAGGCGAACACTGAAACTTCCCAAACAGGGAGGGTTTTGAGATTAGATTACACAAACATCTGTCGGAAATGGTTTAGGTAAATCAGATCCTACCCTAGAGTAGAGGGAGATGGATCGGTGTCCCCTTGAGATGTGGCAGCCTTATTTGCTGTGCATGATCTCATCGTTACCCAGGGAAGGGATCCAGTCATTAATTTGATTCTACACAGCTCACCCAGTTAATGACGTTACAGAGTTATTTGAATCACTGCTGACCTCAAGAAACCTACGACAAGGTGGATGAAGAGACGCGTGCAAGATGTTTTTCTTATCTACAGGGAGATAATGTGCAGACATGAAACCACAAAGAGCCAAGCAATAATTCAATTTTTTTCCCCTTGTATCCTTTTAGCTGATGTCTCCGGGAACTCTCTGCAGGGAAGGATCAGGACTCTGTGACCTCCCAGAATACTGCACTGGCGAGTCACCGTTTTGCCCCCCCAACTCTTACCAAATCGATGGGGCATCCTGCGACGGAGGAAAGGCCTATTGCTACAGTGGCATGTGTCTCACGTATAAAGACCAATGCGTGCAGCTGTGGGGGCCTGGTAAGGACACTACCTGCAGTGAAATACGTTGTCCTTTGAACAGGCAATATTATGTGGCATCCTACTATTATTCACACTGTGTAAGGCAGTAGTACCTTCCATACCCATTATCAGTGGCAAAGTTTGAGGAGCCTTTTCTCCTTGGAGGAGGCAGCAAAAATTTCCTATGCTCAAACAATCCCAGAGAAAGAATAACAGAGTGGTTGGCATGGGGTGAGATGGGCTGCCAGGCTCCGCAGGAATCGGCCATGTGAATCTCTTCCATCCAGGAGCAAGGCCAGCACCAGACGCCTGCTTTGAGAAGGTTAATGCCGCTGGAGACATCTACGGGAACTGCGGGAAGGATATGTACGGCAACTACAGGAAGTGTGAGATGAGGTAGAAAGCAGAATGGCAGCCAAGAGTTGCTCTTTGGGGACGATGTTTTTGTATATGACAAAATTATGAGCCAGTATATAAAACTGATCCATGGTTTGGTTTCACTCCCTCCATCCACCTTCTGGGAAAGCAGCTACATCCTAGTCAGACTTAGAGCCCTTACGACTGAGGCTTTAAATTTACCATTTTCCCCGTCTTTTGCATTTTAAAACATCTAGTTGATATTTTCTCAAAGCAATAGGATTTTCAAATCTGTCAGCTAAAATGTAGCTTTTTAACTGAGACAAGAATTTCTTTGTCTTATCTGTGATTTTGTTGAGGCTGGCCTACCCATGGGGACAGGGAAATGGTACCATCAGTACCCATCAGACAGTGTTGCTTGGGCTGGCTCTTGGGAGGTGCTTGCTCTTTTGCCATTGGACAATGACTCAACACTGCTTTAATTTACATGTAGAGCTGATGCCTGCAAAACATTCAGCAAGGCAGAAATAATCACTCTATCCTTTCCCTTGAAATCAGGGATGCTAAATGTGGGAAGATCCAGTGCCAGAGCTCTGCTTCCAAACCCCTGCAGTCCAATGCAGTGGCCATAGACACAACCATACGCACGCAGAGGACGGAGCTGAGGTGCCGAGGGACCCATGTGTACAGATCTGATAGTGAAGAAAAGGAGATGCTGGATCCTGGCTTGGTGCTGACGGGAACGAAGTGTGGGAGCCATCATGTAGGTACAGTCCTGCCTGTAATGGCTTGGAGAGGTTCAGGTTTCTATCTGGAAAGTGCTTTGTGGTTATCAAGCCATTCATTTCTTATGCCTGATGCTTTTCTAGGGGATCGTTATGTTTGTGAGAAAAATAATTTCTTAGAGGTTTCTGAGAAGCAGTGGAAGAATATACACCTTAAGACTTTGCCAGTTGAAGTCCAGGGCAAGTGCTAAATTTGGGATTCACTAGTTGGTAGAGGTTGTCTTTCTAGACATAACTAGAAATCAACACCTGAGAGCTACTTCAGAGACTTGGCACATGGGTGCAGCCAAACTACCAACATCTGAGCTCCTACTCCTCTCTTTGATGCACATTAGCTGGGATTTAGGGTAGTGATTGAATGTTTGCTTGGGAACCAGGCTGACTTCATGGCCTGTTGTCCTGCCCTGGGTATTGCCAAGGTGTCTGAGACCCTGCAAATCACAAAATAAGACAAGGCAGTATGGTGCATAACCCAAAGATCTAACGCTTTGGGATCCTTTTTCTGCAGGTTTGCTTTGAGGGACGCTGCCAGAACACATCCATCATCTTTGATTCTGAAAGCTGTAGCAAGAAGTGCCACGGGCATGGAGTAGGTGTCCTCCTTTTCAACTCCATTTCAGACTGAAGCAGGATGGGCTGCCATTCATCTGCGGATGGCTGTTCAGCTCAGTTCTGATACCACGCTTAGGTTTGCTCTGGACCTCTGCTTCTTGATTATTAATTTGCACATTCCTTTCATGTTTGGTGCATTTTCTGATCTGTGGGTGTCTCTTTGACATAGGATTTAAGGAGGTCTACATGAGGGATATCAATTGCAATAGATGAAAAACAAGAAGGGGTAATTTTACAGAAAGATGTTCTGGGCCTAGTTTAGATTGAATTAAAAAAAAAAAAATCTTACTGAGGGAAAAGAATAGTAAAAAGCCATGTTTAGAACAGTTTATCCCAAACTGTGCTCTGCTGTGTCCTCAGGGGATGGAAAGAAAAGCTGGTGAGAATTTTTTATACCTTTTGCTAATGTTTGTGGCACAAAACATCAGCATCTCTCCATCCAGTTGGGCAATGAAGAGGAGTGATAAATACAGCAGTGTGTGCCTCCTTCAGCAGCCTGGGAGGCTCCATCATGTACCTGACAAGGAGAGGGACTTGCCCTGCTCTTTCTTTCCCAGTCTGCTTCATTTCTTAGGATCCATGAAGCTGTAGGAAGAGATTGTCAGCTATTCCACAGAATCAAATTAAATGCTACAATTAGCAGAGGACATCTCTAATTGGAGGAATCATCCCCCTTCCAAGTGCTGCCTAAATGATAAAACAAAGTCATAAACCTAAACAATAAGACTTGTATCCTTCAGTTTAGAGATAGGAACTAGAGAAAAGCATTTTGAAATGCTGCTTTTCTCCTGATTCCAGGTTAGTACACTTCAGCTGAAAACCCTTGTCTTTTGGAGAAAGGGAGAATTTCTGTGGAAGTAAAAGGCACTTTCATTCCCTGAAAAGAAAATATTTCTAGGCCCTTAACTCCCTATATATGCCATCAAGAGTTTCTTCTTTAAGCAAAGGCTTAATTTTTTTATCTTGCAGTTTCTTCAGGAGCTGGCATTAATATCTCTGATTCTTCCCGCTCTAGGTCTGCAATAACAACAAGAACTGCCACTGCAACCAGGGGTGGGCCCCTCCGTTTTGCAGCAAGCAGGGGAGGGGAGGAAGCTTGGACAGTGGTCCCCCCATGCCCGAAGGTGAGTGGGACCAACCGTGCTAAGGTGGCACTTCAGAAGGGCTTGAGTTGTCTTGGGGAGCAGGGAGTTTTCCACTCAACTGACTCTGCTTTTCTTGCCCTTAGGCCCTTCAGCGGTCGTGATAACTCTCGCCATCCTGGCTCCTATTCTGCTTCTCATTGGAATCATGTTTTTAGTCTATTATCTGAAATGCTGGAATAAATTTGTCATCTGTTCCCTAAAGAAGACCCCGCAGTTCAGGTAAATTGTCACTGCTGTTACTTGTCTGCTTGTATCCACCCCTTCTCACTGTCAGGGCAGAAGAGAAATTGGAAAGGCTGTGAGAAATACAACTGAATCCGTTTGTTGGTATAGTCGGCATTTGCCTCTAATTTTTTTTACTGCAGTTAAAATATGAAAAACAGAGCAAAGAAAACGGAGAAAATGCATAAAGGAAATAACTCTCTTTTCTTTCTGTCATTGTCAGTGACACCGCTGGAAATGGGCATGCAAACCCTGCCTTCAAGTTGAAAACCCCCCAGGAGCAGAGGAAGGTAGGGGCAAGTGACCTTCTGCTTCCCTGGGGAGAGGCCCAGCTGCCCTGCGATGGGGGATGTGGTTCCCTCTCACGCTGCGGTTAGGGAATGGGTTTTTCAAAGGATGGGAAAAACACAGAGACATCCCCCAAGGCTGAAACCCAGTGATAACCGAATGTAGCATCTATTTCTAGCCACTTCTTTAAAGGTGGGAGCTGGGTTTAACCAGGCCTGTGTGGCCACTTGTCTCTCCTCGTAGATTCTCTCCTGTCACAACCCCCTCTCAAACTTGCAAACACTGGATTTATTTGCAAGCATCACTTACAGTGGTAATGCCTGAATTACTCTGTTCTCTTGTTTCCCATTTCTGCCTCATGATCCCAAATTGTCCCAGTCTCTGTAACCAACACACACTAGACACACACAACACATACCGGTGCTGCAGGCAAAGGTTTTACTGTGTGACCCAAACACCTCATGCAGACCCTCAAAAGCGTAACAGAGGGTAAAAAGGTGGTTTGAAGTGGAAGTATCTAACTCCTGGGATTTGTGGATCTTCTGCACAGGTGATTGGCGTCCCTGAAATCCCTTCGAAACCACCTCCCCAGCAAGTTCCGGGGCTCCGAATAAACACGCAGCAGCCCTCTGCCTTCTCCACCAGCTACAGCGGTGTGGGGCGTCCCGCCAGCCCAGCGCAGCTGGCACCCACGAAGGACGTTGCCCGGCGGATACCCCCGAGCAGGCCTGCACCTCCTGCTCCCAAACCCCCCACCACTCAGGTACGGAGCCATGCTGCCGTCCTGCAGAGGCGGTTTGGTGGGAGGTTTGCTCTGAGTGGGGATGGTGAAGCCTCTCGAGCCCTGGTTGGCATTACCGTGCTCACGGGTGCGTGCTCCATCTCGCCGCAGGACCGCTGGCAGCCTTGCCTTGCGGTGTAGCTGGCAGTGACCGTGCTGGGTGCTAGCATGCACCTCTACTCTTCATTCAGGTCCCCCGATACCTCTGACCTGGACCTGGAGTCAGGTAGCTTGGATCATAAAGCAACATTCACTTTACCAAGGTCATCTAAACATGTTTTTTAGCTGCAAATCAACTAGATAATTTGCCAGGAACAAAAGGGCTGTACAGATTTTTTCACTAAGCAAGCCTAGCAAAGCTCCTCTTAGCATTTATATGTATTTTAGCTCCTGGAAACAAACTCTTCTGAGATTAGCAGTCAGTGCTGAGTACAGGATCCCCATTCCTTGGGATGTTCCCCCGGGTATATTCCATTTCGCCATTCCTGGACTGAAGCCTCAGGAGCCTCAGACAAGTTTAGATGTGGAGCAGAAATGGACCTTTAGCGTGTTGCATAGGAAACATTAGACTTATCCCAGACTAACCCCATGTTTTGTGAGCACCCTAGCCGTGAGGCTATTGTGATGGTTATAAGGAAAGGGTATTGATTTACTTCTCTTGTTGGCAATTTTGTTTTAAGCTTAGTACAGACCCCACATTCTTATGGAAAATATGGCAAATCACTCAGACTCACTTAAACACATTTTAACAAAACAGTTCCCTACTAGCTTTTTTAGGTTAGAGCCAGCAAAGAAGCAAAGGGCTCAGTGATGGGGGATAGCAGGAGGCTGGCTCCAAGGCAGTCTCTCTCTGAAGGATACAGAGGAAAACAAACCAAAAATATTTTAGTGAATGGGATTTGTTTCTAAATCCATTGTTCCTGTGAACAGCCTCAGGAAAGAAAACTGAAACAAAAGCAGGAAGCTGACTGTAGTCAATAAGGAATAGGTATCCTTCCCAGCTGGTTGTTGACAGATTCCCCACGACCTCCATTGTGTTCCCCCGCAACATATCCAGTCTCTTTACATCAGTCAGACCTACTAGATGGGACACTTTTCCTAGGATTTCCAAAAGAAAGCTTACCATTTCTGGGTTGGAGGAGAGCCACAAGATGTAGAAGGTCAGGGGAAGTCATTAATTTCACTGTTTGCTAGTGACAGTGTCCTTCCTAGATGTTTGCAGTATCTGCCAGATTTGCTCTTTTGCTATTCCTATAGGAGCTCTTTGGATGCAGTTGTTGGTGGGATTTAGTCTGCCTTGTCCTTCCTGCAGTCACAGGGCAGGGTCCTTGGAGAGCCATAGATCCCCAAGCATCGGCGGATGCAGACATCCAGCATCACATTTATGCATAGTCTAAGGAGACTGCAGGGTTTTTGGGTGCCCTCCAAGTCGTGAGTGCAGCTGTGTTTATTAAATCAACACCTGTAAGCCAGCGACTTAGCAGAGAGACTAAGCAACAGCAGGCGGTTAGTTCTTGTGTGGGTACCTTCTCCCCAGGGGAACGCTTTACACTGAAATTCATGAGACGAATGGAAAAACAATGCTCTGAGTATCCTATTAGGGACAGCTGTGTGCACGAACAGAGTAACAACTGGTTGATAGTGGGTGCAGGGCTGCTTGTGTTTGTACGAGCACATGTACATACATGTATATGGGGTTTATGGGCATTATATGGGCAGTCATGTAGTGAGTGTATGTGTGTGAAACTTGCTTCCAACCTGAACTGCATCAATAATGGGGCTAATTAAAAGGCTCTGGAACATAGCTTCCTTATTACTTCCAAAATTCAAGGCTTAAAGCTTCTGGATCCTCTAGTAGCCAGAATATGACATGCTCTCAGCCTGCAGATCCATTTAGGAGGCAGAGCAAGGTAACCCTGTTACGCTGTTTGTTAGTTCTCAGTTTGAAGCCAGCTGCCCAGCAGCCTAAGGCTATCCGGTCTTCACGAAGCTTGATAGGTGAAAAACCCATACATGATGAAAACCACTAATCATAATACAATAAGCAGTAGAAGCAGCCAACTGTGGTCCCTCCTTGCTTCAGAGAGGGAGAGGTCTTTGTCTGTATCCCTTCAGTCCTTTGTCTCAGGCAGGGATGCTACAGGCCAAGTTGTGATGGGGACTCCTGCCCAGTCCGTAAGGCTTCTCCTGTTTTTCATCACACAGCCATTAGATGTAATATCCCTGGGGCTAACTCCAAACCAGAGACGTTGAGGTGTGCAGCTGCATACCCAACCTGCTGTCTCACACTTACAAAAAATTATTTCTGTTTTCAGGTCAGGCATCTCTCCAGGCCAAGAATTCAAAACTGTTTCTTTCTTGTGTAGGATATTTCCAGGCCCCGGCCACCCCAAAGAGCTCTGCCAGCTAATCCCGTCCCAGCCAGACCCAGAGCCTGGCCGGGGAGCAGCCCTGCCATCTCACTGCCTCCTGCACACCCCAGAACCCCAGGACAACTCCAGCCTGCGGCAGAGGTAGGCACTAAGTGTGGTGATGGGAAGCACAGCAGTGTCCCCTCACCACCAGGGAATAAAACTACTCTGAAGGGAGTGACCTCGCTGTCATCTGGCAAAACACCTTCCATGATGGTTGGAAACAAAGGCTGTTGGGTTCGTTGACTTTATTGCAGGGCCCGCTGTTTTTACCTGCTCCTTATTAATTGTTTACTAAGTTAAGCAAAACAGTTAATTCAGCCCTCCACATCCCTGAGCACTTCCTCAGATAAAACATTTGTGTGAGTGGGGTGAGCAATGAGGGTGTGTGTGACCCACAAGAGCTGCAAAACAGGAAGGTCCACACAAGACTTGAGGACCCCAGGTAAGGAAGAGGAACCCTCTCCATCCTCTCTAGCCATGGCTAAGGAGATGCTTTATCTGCAGGGAGTGTTTCCCAAACGTGTCCTTAATAAGGGACTTTGAGTCGCTGAGCTCAGCTCCCTGCACCTGGACCCCTTACACAAAACACCTCCACCCCACACACCACATGTGCTGCCTTCAGCTGACAACATACTTGAGGTTAGCTCTAAAAAATGGAAAATACTGCATGAACTTCATCGTGCTACTGGTGTGAGAGTTTCCTACGTGATGCATTAGGGCATGAATGCATGTGAATGGGGATAGGCTTCCTCTGGCCCACTGTACCATCAGCTCCGGGGGAGGGAGAGGGCAGCGTGTGCTCTGTCATCCATCGGTGCTCATCCCTCTCTCTTTTCTTCCGTCTCACGCAGAATACTGGCATCAGGACAGCTGGAGCAGCCAACGCCTTGAAAGCGGGACAGGCGGGCTCCCGTGGACACTCATGAAGCAGTCTGTTCCCAGCTGGCTCTGACCTTTGCAGGGGACTGGATGGCCTTCATCACCCAACAAACCATTCACAGCCACAGACAGTGCCTGGGTTCCTCTCCTCTAGCCTCCCTTGTTTCCTGCGTGACTCTGTTGAGCTGCAGCCAGGCTTGGCAGGAGCACCCCAGGAACTGCACCGGTACATGCCACGCTGAACTCAATCCCCCCTGCTGATAGCCTTTTGCATAGAGGGGATGACTTGTTTATACGGTATTTAAATATTATTGTGCAATATCCAGTGCAGGGATGGGGTCATGGCTTCACATGTTTTTAATCAAGTTATTTAAGTGTTACCAGGGAGAAAAAGCTGTGAGTGCAGGTGCTGGCCCTGATGGGCTTTCATGTGAATCCCAGCGCTGTTGGCTTCCTCAGCCCATCCGCGCAGCTGCAGGAGCATACGTTGGTGCTACACAGAAACCGCTGTCTCTTGGGAGAGCAGGAGGCAGCCCTTGATAACTTCTTTCAGCTTCTTCTCAGTTTACAATGAGTGGCAAGTGGGGCCACAACAGGGAGCAAAGTTAATTTGTGGATTTTGATTAGTTTTAATAGATTGTTTTTCCCATATAAACGTCTTCAGCAACAGTGGTGCAACCTGTCTGTCCCCCAGCACTCATCTTGCCTCTGTGCTGTAAGACCCAACGGCATCCCCAGGGTGGCCTCTGCGCTCTTTATCCGTGTCCCTGGGACACAGTCAAGGTACGACAGGGAAACTCTCTGGCCAGGCAAACGGCCAGAAGGAAGCTCAGCAAAAGGCAGTGCTGAAACCTCCTCTCCAGCATACGGTACCGCGGATGATCCGTAGGCGCTTGGGCACGTGTCTCCTCAGGCATCGGTCTGTGCTGAGCAGTGATGCAGCACGGGCTGTCTGCTCCCCGTACCAGTGGGAAACCCACCGTAACGCTGCCCAGCTGGTCAGGCAGCAGCAACGTTCATGTGACACATGGTGCTTTTGTAGGGCAGCTCATTCACTCCCCAAGTTTTTTCTCCAGGACGTGGATGGAGGGAGATGTCTGTGTGCACTTTAAGCAGCTGATGGTTCTGACCCTTAGGACCCTCCCTTATGAATTTGGGTTTGGTTCTTTTATTTTCTCCTGATGTTTTTAGCCTTTTGGAAATTTTTTCTTAGGATTTTAAATTATGACCTTTTGTTATACCAATTTTTTTTTTTCTTTGAAATGACTTCTGAGGAGAACACAGGGAATTCTGCAGCTATGGTTTACAGTAACAGTGCTGTTGTGTCAGATTTATTATGGAAAATCTTCATAGAAAGAATGTGATTGCCGCTGCGCATGTAAGAAATGCATTACTGGCATA